ATTCCCATAGGGCATGTGTGCTCACTGGAGAGACAGAGAGACAGAAAGCAAGAAATCATCCCCCAGGGGGGATTGCAACACAGCAATCCCTTATCTTCCATTCTGTTCTTGAGATCTTAGGAACAAATACACACAAATGTGCCCTGTGTGAGTTTAAGCCACCGTATCCAGGACTCGAACTGCAGTCAACTATGTGGAAGTCCAGCAATGTAACCATTATGCCATCTGCTAGTCCCATAAATTTTATTTTTAACTTACCAAAATAATGCACATTTCCTGAGTTTTTTAAGCATCTTTATATATGTTCTGATATCATCTTTCCTCTTCTATCTATTCTCTTACTCTCCCTTCCCTCTCAACCTCTCTCTCCCTCTCTCCTTCTCTTTATTCCTCTTTTATCTCTTCCTCTCTATTTCTCTACCTTTCTCGTGCCATACTGGTACAATTAGCTAAGACTTAATCTGCTTTCTGGGTGAACCAGCATTGGCAAAATCCAGAGAGTAGGGGTCCAGGAAGTAGAAGAGAAGAGTAGGGGTCCAGGAAGTAGTATTGTCCAGATACCTACAATAAGTATATATATATGTGAGCGGGATTATAACAAAGGCCTCCTGGTTTCCCTATTGGGTTGTGATGGTGCTTGCTTTAGCGCTTAACTAGGACACATTGGTCGGCACATCACTATGGTTCAATGAAGCCAGAGCATTAAAATCATTAGGTAAATCTGTTAACACTAGAGGCTGTATTGGGTCACTCTTAAAAGAAAATCAAATATGGAACCATCTACAGGGTGTAACCTGAAGGATGCCAAAATGATATCTCTGCTCCAGGATATGTCTCCTAACAAAAGAGTCTTAAAGGGGTTGCTATATTTCAAAATACCCTGTGAAAATTGAAAGTCCTTTGAGGTAGTAGATCAGTAGAGATTTATTTTGCAAAGTGAAAGCTTATAAGGAGAAAGTTCTATTTAAGTATGGAACAATAAATAAAATGAGAAAATGGTAAATGTCATGAAGGTAGATGAAAAAGTGGCAAATTTCGACTCTCAGAATGGTACTGTTATCGACCTTGTTTCCATCCCATTATCAGGTGCTCTGGATGTGAGTAAGGAAAATTATTGTTCAGTTTTCCAACTTGCTAAAGAATTTGTAACTTCCACTACCTCAATGTTTTGTTATTGGGTATTACTGACAATGGAAAGTTTCAACCTGTACTAAGCACATCATGGGTTAAATTCAAGAAAGTGCTGCAGGCTTTAATTCAACCATGGGAATAAAACAAAACAAAACATACATCAGGGTGGGACTGACCCCAGCAGGTAGCTAGATACTGTGTCAGAGACCTGTGGAGTAACCAGTCCTGTTGACTCTTTTCCAGGGTTGGAAGAGTGAGGGATAACAGCTTCCATTGCTTAAAGATGCCACTCTGCTAGTTGGGGCGAGGAAAACCCCAGCAGAGACCTAAAATGTTTCAGATCATATATTTACCCAAAAAAACAAAATTATGGTTAATAGAAAATACAAAGTAGAATTTCATCTCATTCATTCTTTTGCTTCTCTTTCTGCCTAAGCTATCAACATATGTAACTTATTAACATAACTGAGCATGAATATTTTTTACTATTGTGTAGTCTTTTCATATCTGTTAAATAAACACATCTCTCCTTTTTCCTGAAATATTCATTTGCCCAGTTGACAAAACCTCCGTTAGTTAAAATGTTTTATAATCATTCTAAAAGTTCCATAAGTTCCGTCATATTGTGAGTATAAGAAGAAGGATTAAAATGTAAGAGAAATATGATGAGAGTTTGGATGTGATTACTTTCCTTTTCTTACTTGACTAATTCAGCATATTAAAACCACGTCAGGCATTTTGACAAAAGTCAGTGTAGCTCTTTTTTCCATTCAAAAAAGAATAATTCTCTATATTTAGGTAGTTTGAAACTTGTACTTAAGGACATTGAATTTGGTGTTTGCTCTTTAGTGGAGGAAGGTGAGGAAAGAAAGGTCCTTATGTTTACTCACTGAATAAATATGCCTATAGGCCAGGCACTATTTGGTGCTTTAGTCTATGGACTTTTTAAACATCTATTTTGGCTGGTTCAGAATCCCCATGTTAATCTTTTCATCTTCCTGCTGCTGAAGTGCCTCCAGTTCTGATTCTACAGAATTATTTGGTAAACTAAACCATCCATAACCCAATCAGGAAGAAAAGATTAAACCTCCTGCATGTTGTAAAATCAATGCCATAAAATCCACCTACTGTAGATTTTCTTAGTATGAATGCCTTCATTCAGCTACTATACAATTATAGCAAGTTTATCTATTCAGTTTTCCATTTAACACATTTTTAAATAAATTAAAATGAAGTTACTACTGCTATACATTACTGTTACATTATTATTGACCTTTCTTGGGTGTTAGCAGCTGCCAGATACTGTGCTAAGCCTTTACAAACATTATTTCAATAAATCTCTGTGACAACCCTATAAAGTTAAATGCCATTAATACCTCCATTTTACAGTTTTGTAAACTGAGGTTTAGACTTTTAAGTTTTATAGGGCCTCACTAATTTACAAATTTGTATATATCGTAATTAGTGTAGAGAAACAATTAGTGAAGGGTTGTGACAACTTGACAGCAAGAGTAGAAAAACACAAAGGAAAAAGAACATACGACAAATTAAAAAGCACAGTAATTCAGAGATTTGTAATTTGAAGATGGACCACTATATACCTCTTATAGCTTTTAGAAGGCAACATGCGTATGACCCCAAACTATTAAAAATAGAATAAATTACATTCAAGATTATCTACTTAAGAATGAGTGAAGAAGTAGGGGCTGAGCAGCAGTGCAGTGGTAAAATGTGATGTGATGCTCTGTGAGGCTGACCCACATGGAAAAGTTCCAGGTTTTCCTCTGGAGACTTCTCTGAATAAGCCAGACATGCAGGTGCCTATGATCTGGGGCTGGCTAAAGCTAGGGGTGGATTGCAGCATAAAGTCCCTGTTGGTGGTGATCTCTTGCTATATCCCTTTTGCTCATGGGAGAAGTAAGTAAAGAAACTTTTTTAAAAAAGAATGAATGAAGAGCTGTAACATATGCTATAAATATTTGTCTGATCTTTCAAATTGGTAAAATAAACATCAACTCTGCATTTTGGTTTCTCAAAGGGAAGGCTTCAGCTATCTGAAAATTCACATTCCATGATGATGGTGGTATTCTCATGTGTGGTACATTTCTAAAAAATAAACTTATTTACAGAGTACTTTCCTTTTCAAAGCTTCTACCTTCAGGTTCAGCTACCCTAGTCTATTAATTTGCTGTGGCTTGGGCCTATTCCATCACCAGGGTTAACCCATTATGCCGACTAATACGTAATTGACCATTTGTAAAGGAGAACTGGAACCTTGATTTAATGTGTGATTTGTAGCGGCCTAATACAGCCTCCTAGCTCACTCCTTACTAAGAGGAAAATAATTACCCCTATGCCTCCATCTAAAATGGCCATATGGCCTATGCCCAAGATATAACTATGATCTGGCATGAGAAGAAAAAGTAAGATCCTGAGCAAGGTCCCTTCCCAAGAGGCTAGATCCTAGTGAGATACCTGGGTGCTGCATGGAGCACCTGAATGGCTCAGGAAAGCATGAGAACCCTGGGCCAGGAAATTCAGAAAGAGTCAGAAGCCCTGCCAAGAGTCCTATAAGCACTCAGCAGCAAAGCAGGACTCCCCCACATTCTTAGTTATACCTTTTCTCTATTTGTTTATCTTAAGTTTCCAGGAAAAAATTGCAAAGAGGGTCCCTAGGAACTGAGTAGGTGGGCAAAAGAAGGGACTGAGGGGCTGCAGGCTGTTCTCAGTGAGAATTAAACAAAAAGTTCAATGTGGGGAGAGTAAGGGTAGGTTTCATGAGACAGACATAAAAAATAAAAACCCAAACTACTGTGGTCATTCAGAAATGTTTGCAACTTTTCACAAGGGCAGTGGTTTTACCCCAATTTTCCTGGCCAAATATTTATTAAAGAAACCAAGGATCAAGTACATCAGTGCAGCATCCTACTTTCCTTACGGCTCCAAACTGTGAGGTGTTAAAAAAAAAACAAAACTCTTCCACATGAAATAGTTCTATGTTACAGAGAAGGATAGTTGTAACATATTCTGGGAGTGGATGTGCTTGTTTGAGTTCAGTGTGTGCAGAAAAGTCAAGCCCCCACAGTCATTCACACACTTCCCTCCTCAGCGATGGGTATGCAGACAGCTGAGCTCCTGGACTAAGTCTCTGAATGGTAATGTACATTTATAAATATTATTTTCTTAACTATTTTTAGGCATTTTATAAATAATATGCATGTGTCTGCTGAACATGTATGTATATATATATAGTCAATCTTTGCTTGTTTTCTCGTGAGGCTGGTTCGTGTGGTTACTTATGTGGTATGATTTCTGCAGTGTCAGAAAGAGTTCTCCCCAACCTCCTACCCTAGTCACCAAAAATATCTCCTGGATTGGCCCACCACAGATCTTAAAAAGCCCATATGACTCAAGCATTTGATTTAGTCAGTGAAAGCAGCTGTTAAAATCCAAGTGTACAACACAAGATGACATGCACAGTTTGAGTTAGGTGCTTTTCTTAAATATCACAGGACTGGAACCAACATACATGCTTGGCCCAGATTTTAACCATGATACTGTGATAAAAGAAACACAGCATTGCTGAGCAGACTTTGTTCTGATTTATTTTTATTCTGATATGAGTGTTTTCCACAGTTTCTGATCCTTAGCTCCCACTCTTTTCACAGTGTATTTGACACCCCTTCCTGTGCTGCAGAGGCTCTCAGTGACCTCTTGCTAATCAGCCTTGGTGGGGCCCAAATCGTTACCCCTTGGAAAACTTACAGAGCCTGACGTCTGCCTGTGAGCATTTTTGGGAAAGACCTCACAACTGCCCAAGTAATCTCTCTCAGTAGCAAATTGCCAAAACAAGTCCATTTCCTCAAAAGATGATGGAGGACTTAGCAGCTTCTTACATTGCTCTGAAATTGGAGAATAAAATTCTGCAGGCTCAAGTGCAGAGGCTGATAGAAGAAAAGGTTGCCCTCCAGGCCCAGATCCCAGAGCTTCAGAAGTTCCGAGCAGCCAAGGATGAACCACTCCAAAAGCTTTCAGCAGCCCAGAAGCCCCGGAAGCCTCCAGAGTCCCTGGATCTCCCAGCAGCCTGGGAACCCCAAGAACTCCTAGAGGCCAAGGAGCCCCCAAAGCCACCAGAGGTTGAGGAATTCCCAAATTTCACAGAATCCCTAGGTCCCCCAGTAACCTCTGAGCCCCCAGAGATCATGAAGCTCCAGAAGAGTGCCGAGCCCCAAAAGCCTCAAGTCAGGGAAAGCCCAGCAGCACAGGAGTCCAGGGAGGTCCAGAAGCCCCTGGAGTTCTCAGAAACCCAGGAGTTCCAGGCACCACCAGTGGCCCAAAATCTCCTAGTAACCAGTGAGGCCCAAGAGCCCTCAGATACCTAGAATGTTCCAGAGGTCAAGGAGCTTCAGAATTCAGAACCCCAGAATCCTCCAAATGCTGATGAGCCTCAGCCGGCACCAGAATGCCAGGAGACCTCGGCACAACTTGATCCCCTTGAGCTTCCTGCTCCCCAGGAGCCTCCAGAGCTTCAGATCTGCCAGAAACTCCTGTATCCTTCAGATGCCCAGGAGTTCCTAGAACTCTTAGCACCCCAGGAATCCCTAGAGGGCCTAATAGCTGTTGAGACATCAGCAGCTCCAGAATTCTCAAATGCCCGCAATGAGTTAGGAGCTGTGACTTTCCCCGTAGAATACCCTTTAGCCTTCAGTGGGGATGCCCAGAAAATTCCTGAGATCCTAGTTGAACTCAGTAGTTACGTAAGAGTCAGAGGGCACCTTTATCCCACTGAAGCAGCCCTGACGAGCTTTGTTGGCAACTACTTCTCATGTGAGGCAGGAAGATGGTTCCAGCCCTTAGTGGATATCCAAAGTCCCCTGCTGGAGCAATTTGAAAGTGTTATTCAAGTGCTACAGGATACTTCTGACAATCCAGAAAATATAGAAGATGCCAATCACTGCATCCACCAGCTCTGCCAAGGAGAAGGCCCTGTCCACCAGGATATAACCCATTTCCACATCATTGCTCAGGACCTGAACTGGGATGAAATCACTCTCTGCATCCAATTTCAAGAAGGGCTTGATAGTTCTTTCCAAGATGAACTATCTTGCAGAAGCCCATCTACCAACTTAAACGATCTGATCACTCAGTGCATCAGCCTAGAAGAAAAGCTGAGTGGTAAGCTTGATCTCAGTCCTTCAGAGATAAGTCCTATTGAAAAGAGAGATGGTTCTGAGAGTCCACCAGCAGAAAAACAGCCTATCCAGGTTGCAAGCAAACACCCACACCTCAGTGAAGCTGAATGGGCCCGCCGTCGTGAATGCCACTTGTGCCTCTATTGTGGTCACCCTGGTCACTTTGCCAGAGATTGTCCTGTCAGACCTCATCATGCCCAGAAGGCGGGAAACATCGAGGCCCGGCAGTAAGGGGGACCCCGGGCGGGCCAATGTACAAATATGTGTCCCCCTCTCTTCCAATATACATGTCTCGTACCCTATGGCTGACCGTTGAAATTCGACTGGGAAGACGACAGTTCTTTGAGCAAGCAATGGTGGATTCAGGTTCCTACAGAAACAGCATAGACTATTCTGTGGTTCTTCGAGAAAAGCTGCCCATCCGCAGTAACATCTTTCCTCTGATGCTTGAAACTGTCGATGACCGTCCACTGACTAATGGTCCCATAACCAAAGAAACACCACCTGTTGAAGTTAAAATCGGAAATCATGTTGAAGAACTCCAATTTGATATTATTCATGCACCACGGTATCCTTTGATTCTTGGAATCCACTGGCTTGAGACACATGACCCAAACATTGAGTGGAGTACCCACACAGTGTCTTTTCCATCACGTTATTGTCACTACAATTGCTTCAGGCACAGGTAGAATAGAAGACGTCATGACGAAATAATGGCTGGGTAGATCCTACATCCCAGTGACTGCTCCTGGGAACCTATCTTGCATTACCTCAGCTTTCATCAACATTTGCTGCTCCTGAAAACATCCATTGAATCTTTGGCTATGAACTAAGGTTACCTGTACAACGACTCTGTCTCTGGGATCATGGACTGAACCTGATTACTTTGATCTGTTTTGTTTTGTTTCCCACATCACTGCTGCATGCCCTCTTCTCTGAACCCTGCATTTGAAAAGCTGTTTCAATTACAATTTATACTAACAATGTGCATGAAAATAGATATTAGAAACTAATACTGAAACGTATAGCTGTTAGACTGACTTGATTCTTTTAATAAGAATTTTCTTTTTCATAAAAATTGTAACATCTTTTCAATAAAGAAAAATAAATTTGCAAGTGATATTTTTAGAAAGAATCAATAAACATTGGCAATTTCTATATGTATTGAATTGTCTCTTGGCTTAGTCAAAGGAAAGGGATAAGGAACTAGTAAATTGGGAGAAAAAGGGAGAGTTAATAAATCGCTCAAAATTTGGGCAGAGTCTTGAACATTCCATGTTAGTAGTGACAGGTTATTGAGTGATGGACTAGGGAAAATTAAAGAGAGTAGGGAGCTTTTGGGTCTGAGATGGGGTGAACAATTGTGAAATTAGGAGAAAGGTGGAAGGAAGGTTGAGAAGAGGGCATGGAGAGGGATATAGAGGTGGTTCAAGGGATGGTTGGAAGTGCTGAGGGCAGAGGTAATTGGATGGGAAAAAATCCTATAAAAATAAAGGGAGCATTGATGAAAGATTGAGCAGCTTTGAAGGCAAAATTCTTGGACTCTACTAGTTAACCAGAGGGAACAGCACAGAATCAGGTAATGAGACCCCTTCAGTGACTCTCAGCGGCCCAGACATCCTGGTAAAGTGACAAGGGGAATTTGTCCTAAAGCTCATGTCTATTAATCTGGTCTTACCAGTGCACAGAAGCAGGACAACAGAAGTCAGGTTTCAACACATGAGATTATTATTAGCCAACTGTACCTTTCCTATATATATAGGTTGCCTTGTTCTGCTAGTCATGACACTTGCACAACACATTGGGAGTGCCAAGTCAAGGAAAGAAACTTATGCTCTTGTGAGCCTGAGGGGGGGGCTAGTGTTCTGACAAATCACACACACACACACACACACACACACACACACACACACACGAACTACAGGGCACAGGATATGGAGGGTATGAGACCTCTAGGAGAGATGTGAGGAATTGTTCAAGCAGACCCTAATTCTTTTCCTCTGTGTTTTCAACTCTCACGTGAGAGTTTTTCTCTTTGAAATCACTTAAAAATGATTCTTTACTTTACTTAGACAAAAGATAAAATAAGTTATACCCTAGAAAAACATACGGGATGAACTTACCATTAACTGGGGCCCTAATATATTCTGGTTACAATGTCAGGCATTTTTACACATATTAATTATCTCATTACTCCTAAGAACAATCTAGTGCTGAATCCCAGCAAGGCTAATTCACTTGCCCAAAGTCACAATAGGTAATAAGTGGTGAAGGCCCATTTGGCCACCAAAACCCATGCACTTTCCACTATGACATGGCAATTTCTAATGCAATGCTGAGGGCCAAACAACATTGTGACAGCAGAGAGCTAACAGCGATAACTCTCAGAAGGAGGGGAAAGCTCAGAGATAAAACTACAGGGACCATTTAGATAGTAGTTATGTGTCTCCACTTCCTTTGTTCTTATCCTCAATCCCTTGGTCGCCATCAAACTTCCATTTCTTAGAAGATTTCCTTTTGGTACAGCCTTTTTTTTGATTCCATAGTATTTTAATTTTATTTATTTATTTATCATTATTATTATTATTATTTACATTTTACATTGCTATACATCATTTAGCTTGAATAGAGAATTTAACCAACATGAAATACACCTCAGACCAGTCCAGTTGAGAATACTATACACATCATCATCAACAGGTAATAAACCATTTCTGTGTCCCACAAATGTCTTACTTCTCTATTTTTTTCTCTGCAATCCATAGCATTTTTTAATGAGAGTTATTGGTCAAAGAACAGTCACATGCGAGACCACTTTTCGGATTGTCTGCCATTTCCATATCCAATCCAAATCCTTGCATCTTTAGATTCCACCTCTTCTAGTTCTTACTGGTCTCCTCTCCCTTCCCTGAATAGTCTAATGAATTTTGGGGTTATACACCAACTTGTGGAATGTGGGGACCATTTTTAGGTATATGCCTTCCATTCTACCCACTCAATATTCCCTATTTATCCTGGATGCAGAGACAGAATCATCTACATCCCTACCCTTAACACGTTCTTCACAGCAACTGATTCAATGAGATTTAATTTTATTACTTAGGGAAAAAAAGGCTTATTTGTATACTATGAGGTCTTCTTGTTTCTCCTATTTGCCACTCATTTGTACTCTCAAGAGCAAACACTATTTGTCAATGTGGAACTCAAGTGAAAAAAACCTTTAAGCTGTCACAAAGGCATGGGGAAGGGCCTTTTATTGCTCAAACTACCCTGGGGCTAAGAAGATCAACTATGTTTGTTTACCCCAGGACTAAGAAGATTCTTGGGAAATAGGGCTTTCTGTGCTAAAACTGAAACAGCTCTGGACAAATTGAGAAGGTTTGTCAGCCAACCTACACCATACATTATTCTATCTAACTACACAACTAATTTAGCTAGGGAATGATTCTTTATTTCACAAACAGGATCAATTATCCAATCATAGAGCCACAGACTTTGTGAACTGGAAAAAACTCAACAAATCTATTTTCTTTTTTCTTTTTTTGGAGAGGTTTTTTGCTATAGGGCAAGTGCGCCTGCCAGACAGACAGAGAGAGACATAGAGACAGAAAGCAAGAAATCACCCCCTAGGGGGGATGGTCACGCCGCAATCCCTTCTCCTCCATTCCCCTCTCGTGATCTTGGGCACGCACGCACACACGCCCAGCGTGAGTTTTAAGCCATCGGGTCCGGGACGCGAACCGCGGTTGACTACGTGGGAGTCCAGTGACATAGTCATTACGCTAACTGCTGGTTCCCAACAAATCTATTTTCTTAATTTTATAAAGTAACTGAGATGACTAAGAGAAAGGAAAGTCACCTAACATAGCTCAGCACTATCCCTATGTCCTAAATCCAAATCTAATGCTCTATTTTCACTTCCACTGTTTTAACCCAATAGTTAAAAATCAAATCTGTGGCCAGCACTGTGCTAGGTACTTTGGATCATGGACACTGTTTAAAGCATCACATGAGAGATTTATAATGCGGTCAAGGAGGAAAAGTTAGCATTTGTTAGACAGCTAGCACAGATAATCAAGTGCTAAATCCTATGGTGACAGAAAATATGCCAAAGTGAAACTTACCAGTCAATGGGACTAACAACAACATCCATTTAATGAGAATATTTTTGCCAGACATCGTACTGGGTGGTTTAGATTTTTTCAACTATCTGAAATGTAAATATTATTAGCCCATGTATACAAATGGAAGAATTGGATCTCACTGAAGTGAGATCACTAGTCAGGGGTCACACTGTTAGACTTGGCAGATATAAAATCAAACTCCAAAGTTGGGGTTCCAGCCAACATATCGCACTACTTCTCAGGATGAATGAGCTTTACTCTTTATCAACCCCTGAATAATATTGACTCACTAAATATGAGTTCTATTACCCCAGAAAAATATTTTTTAAAAGATAATTTATTATTCATTCAACAAGCATTTAGTGAATGCCCTCTGTGCCTCAGGCACAGATATAGGGGGAAGAGGAGGATAAAGGAAGAGGAAAAAACCTACAAACCTATCTAAAGCTTGACACGTGGTTCTTGCTCTGACTACTGTTTAACAGGGGAAGCTTTATTGTAACATAGCACTCTGATATACAGAGGAAACAGTAATAATTTTGCTATGGACTGGAAAAGTATGTTTTGAGCTTGGCCTTAAAGGAAACAAGAGGATGGACAGGACTTTCTAGGTTAAGTGCAAAAAAAAGCAAGCTGGCAGGAAAAAGCATGGTGTCATCAGAAAAGATGGATACATCACTACAGATTAAAGATGTATGTGTAGGATGGGGGTATAGGTAGAAAAATGAAGCCTAACAAGGAGTTTGGAAGTTTTATCAGGTTGAACGCCCAATCTACTTGGCTAAAGACCAAATTTTATCTTGTGAATGATTTGGATTAGGACTTTTTTTCCTCTTCTTCTTCTTTGTTGTCATTATATTTGGGTCTATTTTTCTCTCCTGATATGAAGCAACAAATTTATATGTGTCAGGAGCTTATAACAAAAATAAAAGACTCCCCTTTTCCCCTGCCCCTTATCTCACAAATTAAAAGGTTTCTAAATAGAATACAATGAATCTATATTTTGGTAATGTAAAAGTGATGTGCAAAATGACAAAGTGTCTGTTTATTTCTACCTACTTAGATTTTATAAAGATTAATTCAAACTGTCAAAGGCAAAGTATTAAA